TTTTTAAAACATCTGAGAGTGCTTGGTAGAAAGACTGGGTTACTTACAGTAGCCCATCCAGATAACAAACCACTTTTCTTAGCCATTACCTGTTAGTTGCTAAGTATAGATAACTCACACTTGTGTAGAAAGAAAATGTTATTTGATTTGTAATTCACATGGCCTCCCTGCTCCATGCGTGAAATGATTTAGTGCTGCTTCAGTACGCAAACAAAGACAGCCTATTCAGTTATTGCAAACTGATCATCCAACAGATTTTGATAAGTTACTACCACCTATATGTAATGGAAATATTGAATGCTGAATTTGTTTAAGCTACTAAATAATTCATTGAAATATATCTTGTATGCTAATGTGAATTTTGAACAAATTCTGATTAAAGAAAATTAGTTATTCATTTTCATGTTTTACAACTTATCTCCATATGATACTTCATTTTCAAAGTGAACTATGTAAGCTTAAAATATATAGAGACTGCCTAGTTTTCTTCATTTTAAGATCTAAAAATATTCATGAAATAATTTAAGCCTAAAACTCTTCCATAACTAAGTTATGTCAAACAATTAAGTACCATTTAGAATTTAAGCCACTTGCAAATGTCTTAAGCTTCATAATAGTGATGTCCATACCGCTGCATAAAAAAGAAGATGAAATCATGAAGTACAAATTAACAGTTTCAAAATAGCCAGGGGGATGTAAAATACAGCATAGATAATATAGTAAATAATACTGTAATAATTATGTAAGGGTGTAAAACTTATCAGGGGATCACTTCATTAATTACATAAATGTTTAAGCACTAGGTTCTACAACTGGAAACAACACAAAATAACATTGAATGTCAACTGTAATTGGAAAAAAATCCAGTTAAGAATGAAAAAATAGAGATGCCCATGCTCTAGGCTCTAAGATAATGGTGACAATGTAGGAAATACAGACCTTACAGCAGCCTTGCATTGTCAATTTTTGAATGGGAAAATTTAATGTAAGCTGAAAGTGATGCATAAGAAGGTAGGTCAATGTTCTTCTGAAAAACATAAGGGTAGTCGTGACTGGGATCTCTCAGTAAAATCCTAAAATAAACAAATAGACAAATACTCTCAGAATGTGATGAAAATGTCCTAACCACAAAAATAAATAAATAAATGGGTGGAGAAATTGGTGGTAAATGGCAGATGTATAATTAGTCTTGACATTGTTCAAAATAGTTGTAAAAATTCTCAATATGATAGGCTACATAATACAGAGGGAAAATACATTTTCTCATTTTCAGTTCAGTAAAGCTTGGGTTTAAATACATAGATAAGAACAACTTGGGCACTCCAGTCTTAATTTTTAGTAGAACTAAGAAACTCTTTTTATCCAATATCAATACTTTTTCAAGATAGATAGGTTGGATATTGTCTGTAGAATATAATTTTGGTGACTCAGTGGGATACTAAGATTAATTTCCCAGAAGAACTTTGGGTATTCTCCCATTTGTAGTATATAACTTGAGGTTTAGGGTGAAAATAAATATATTAATGATACAAATGGTCCAAAGATTAGTTGGTTTTCCCTGCTATTTAAAATAATTTCAGGATAGGATTCAAGATGGCAGTGGAGTAGGTATAAGCTATACTCACCTCCTCCAAGGAGCAAAATAAAATTACAACTAAATTACTGAACCATTATCCTGAATAAACAACTGAAGACTAGCTGAACAAAAGTGTTATAATCAAGGATTTACAGAAGAAACCATATCAAAACTGGTAGGAAGGGCCTAGATATGAAAAGGGCTAGCTCAGCTTCAATGGGTGGCAGCTGAGAATCTGGAGGGATATCTCAGCCACAAGGTTCCCACTGAAAAGTGTGAGGTCTCAACCATGAGATGGGCTCCCTAGCTCAGAGCACCAGAACCTGGAAGAATCACCCACATAACATCTGGCTGTAAAAAGCAGCAGGGTTTTCATTCATTAGGGAAAGGAAGGAGTCAACTAGAGACACAGGCAACCTGTTTAAAGGCCAACACACAAGTTTTTTTTCTCAGCCACTCACCCTGGACTCTGGCAGAGGGAGGGTGGAGCTGGCTAGAGTCAGGTGAGGACAGTCTGGGCTTTGTGACTCTGGGGAGAGAGCTGGGTAGACAGCCACCAGTATCCCTGTGCTGAGTCACCCTCCAACACCACAGACACCATCTTTCTTGGGTGGAGCACTATCTAACTTATGGCTGCAACCTGGGAGAAAGCAATATCCCAACCCTGTGGAGTCCCTTTAGTTCCACCCTGCAGAATTTACTCCCTGGTGAGGAGTTAGCTGCCTCATCCAGGGTGTAGACCAGCAGTTGGAGGCAGACCTCAGGGTGTTTTGGGACTGTTGATAACCTGCTCCAAGGCCTGGTACTGATAAGAACTGGCCCTAGTTCACAGTTTAGTCATTCCTGCATACACCAAGGCTCAGCAGAGGCAGTCACTAACTGTGGATCACATGTAGCTCCAAATAGTTTGCCAAGGGCCAGTCACAGGCACCATCTGAAATTGGTTGCAACAGAGTGTCTTCCAAGAAAATCCCAGAATCAATACACCCAGTGGCCTCCTTCAGACAACATCAGAGCAGGATCCAATTAGCCTCACAAGTGGTATATCCCAAGGAGAATTTTGGCAGGCATCAAAATCTGCTGGGGTGAATTCCATTTCATGTGGTCACCACCTTCACAGTAGTTCCCATGCCGTGGTGAGGTTTCAGCCTTGGAGTCAGCCATCCTGAGGGTCTATTCCGTGCACGAACAGGCCAAGAGCAATCAAGACTCAGTTACAACTGGTGGATCCACATAAACCACACAAGGGACATTCTTGGAGCACCCAGCTCAGGTGACTACACCACTGAATCCCACAGAACACTTATTACATAAGGCCACCCCATGAAGACTGGGAGTCATAACAGAACTAATACATAGAAACAAAAACAAGGAGGCAGCCAAAATGGGTAGACAAATATAGAGGTCCCAAATGAAAGAACAGAAGCAATCTCTAGAAAAAAAGCTAAATGAAATGGAGACAAGTGATTTATCAGATATAGAGTTCAAAGTAATGGCTATAAGAATGCCCAACACCTGTGAACCAGAGTATCACGGTTCGATTCCCAGTCAGGGCACATGCCTGGGTTGCAGGCCAGTTCCCAGCAGGGGGCGCATAAAAGGCAACCATACATTGATATTTCTCTCCCACTCTTTCTCCTTCCCTTCCCCTCTCTCGAAAAATAAATAAATAAAATATTTTAAAAAAAGAATGCCCAACAGCATAAAAGAAGGAATAGATCATAAAAAGGACCAGTCATCCCTGGATGGTGTGGGTAGGTGGATAGAGTGCTGACCCACAAACCAAAGGGTCACCAGTTTGATTTTTAGTCAGGGCACATGCCTGGGTTGCAGGCCACATCAGTTCCCCAGTGAGGGTGCATGAGAGGCAACCACACACTGATGTTTCTCTCCCCCTCTTTCTCCCTTCCTTCCCCTCTGTGTAAAATAAATAAGTAAAATCTTTAAACAAATGCCAGTCAGAAATCAAGAACACAATATTTGAAGCAAAGAATACACTGGAAAGAATAAACAGTTTGTTGGATGAAGCAGAAGATTGAATTAGCAATTTGGAAGACAAGGTAAAAATAATGATGTGTTATAGAATTGTGCATCTGAAACCTGTATAATTTTGTTAACCAGTGTCACCCCAATAAATTCAATAGAAAGAAAAACAAATTTAAAAATAACCTCAGGATAGGCTTGAAAAACATTCTATATTTCATGAAAAGACCCCTGATTTACTCAAGTTATCTGTGGACTCCTTTTACATGGTTCTCTCTGACTTTGTATACTTTCTTGCTAAGTTAGTTCTAAGACCACCTGGATACACATCTTGTGTTGTCTTTTATTTGCACTGGTATATCCCAGATGTACAATTTAGCACTGTTATTTCCACATAAAGCTATTGTCTTTTCTGCAGATTTTTCTGGATTTCTGGTGAAGTCATAGGTTATTGATATTGTTAACAAAACAAACAACATAAATGGTGTATTTAAATTCACTTAAACCTGTCTCAGCCACACTGTTTAGGGTTTATAGTATAGGTGATATGTCATTGTCTTTTTTTTAAGTCAGTAGAAGGTGGCAAGCAGGGGCATTTGGTTTCCTCTCCACCAGATAGTTACTCCTCCTCATTAGTGGGAGAGCGCAGGACAGGCCCCAGCAGCTTTCTATGTGAACACCAGAGCAAGGAATTCATAATATCATGCAGCAGCTAGCTTTCTGTAAAAGTTGTTTCATAAAGAAAAATACTTTTCCTGACTGGTGTAGCTCAGTGGGCTGTGTGTTGTCCTGCAAACTGAAAGGTCACCAGTTTGATTCCTGATCAGGGCACATGCCTGAGTTGCAGACTAGGTCCCTAGTTGGGGGATGTGGGAGAGCCAACTCATGGATGTTTCTCTCACACACTGATGTTTCTCTCCCTCTCTTTCTCTTTCTCTTTCCCTTTCCCTTCTCCTCTCTCTAAAATAAATAAATAAATCCTCAAAGAAATGCTTTTATGTGCATGTTTTTAGTTTACATGTGTTTTTTTCAAGGTTTCAACCTTTTACTAAGATACCATGTGTGCATTTACACATGTGTACATTAAAAAAACAACTTATTAAAACTTAAGCAATGCAACTGAAATAAATTATGAAGATAAGACTTAAGAGCAAGCATTCCTGCATACCCATTTTTAATGATTAAATTAGCTGTAAATCATTCTATTTCATTGTTGTGGTTTTCAATATATAGCTTTTGCATTTATTTATTAATTCTGTAATTTAAAAACTTTCATATCCTCTAGTTACAAATTTTTATTTTATTAAATTTTTCTTTCTTGTCTGAGATATAGATTGAAGTTAAATGTTTACTTATTTTCATTTAGTTTCTCTTTGTTAATAAGAAAAAACTTTATTTCCATCAGTTTCAATATACAATATTTTCTTTCTTTCTTTTTTGCTACGAGAGAGTGTGAATGCAGTCCCCTACTACCACATATTATGCAGTAGAGTTTCCCATATTTGGGGAAATTGCAAGGGTCAGCACATCTGAAGTGCAATGGATAAGCATAACCCTGGGAAAACCACCTTCGCGATCATGGTATCTCCCTTGCCAGGTAAATATTAGGATATTTTCTTGAATTATTTCTAAATGTTACATTATTGTAGCTTTTGTTAACTCTGATATAATGTGTTTTTAAGATGAAAATTTTTAAATCCAGTCACTTTTTTGTTGTTGCTGAAATCTTTATGAATTCTTATTTTCAATACATTGTGGTCAGATAATATGGCCTATACTATTTCAGTATTTAGTTATTTATGCAAGGTATTTTTGCTCATTATTGATTAATTTTTGTTAATGATCAGTGAGAGATTGGGGGCAAAGCTATGTTTTCTATTTCTTTCACAAACAGTATGCTATGCAGCTATTAAATTGACCTTATTGACTTTATTACTCATATTCATGTAATTTTATTTTCTTGCCTAATTCATCAGAAAATAACTGAGATAAATATGTTAGTCTTACACCATAGTTATGTTTTATTTTAATCAATTTCCCTACTATTTTTGACATAATTTAATCTTATATATTTCAGTACAATCGTATTCAACAACATAAAGATTCATGACTTTTATCTTTTCATTATATCTCTGCTAATTTGATGCTTTGACATTGAATTCTAATTATTCTTATAATAATGTGATCCCTGCTGTGAAGAAAAAGGTGGTAACACAGAAGCTGAAGCCCAGCTCTATTGAAATAAGTAAGGCATAAGGATCAATTTACATTGAAATGCTACTACTTACACTCAGACAATTTATGTCAGGTCCATGACATAGAAGGCAACAAAGGATGAGGAAAAATAGAGATCTTAATAATCTGAGGGAACCTAAGGGAAAGACCAGGGTATTTATAGGTCAGCACACCTACTCTTCTGTCCAAGTGTGGGGAACACAGCTACTAGCCAGAATTTTCTAGAGAAACATAACCACAGATATGGGCTCACGATTTTGAAGGCTGACAAGATACGCAGAGTAAATGAGTTAGCAAGCTAGAGATCCAACACAGCCAATGATATAAATCCAGTCCAAGTCCCAAATGCTTAAGGACCATGAGAGCCAATAGTGTAATTCCATTCCGAAGGCTGGCAAGCTATAGAATCAGGAAATTCAGTTTGAGTCCAAAAGCAGGAAACAGTAGATGTCACAGGAAAAACTCTCTCTTGCTTAAAGAAGGATCAGTCTTTTTGCTCTATTCAGGCTTTTAACTGATTAGATGATGCTCACCCACGTAAGAGAGAGCAATCTGCTTTATTCAGCCTACCAATTTAAATGTTAATCTCATCCAAAAAGGACCATTACAGACACACTAAGAAATAATGTATGACCAAATATCTGCATATCTCATGGACCACTCCAGTTGAACAAAATTATCTATTGCAACACATAGAAGCAGAATAGGGGTAATTTCTACAGCACGGGTATCCAAACTTTCGGTGTCTCTGGGCTACACTGGAGGAAGAAGAGTTGTTTGGGGCTATATGTTAAATACACAAATGGTAACAAAAATTGATGAGTGAAAAAAAGGTTTTAAGTAAATTTATGATTTTGTGTTGGGCCACATTCATAACCATCCTGAACTGCATGTGGCCCATGGGATGTGGGTTGGACACTCCTGCAAAGGAAGCCCCTCTAGCTTCCAAGTAATACCAATATATTTAGGGTAAAACATGAAAAGGAAACAGATATAGTCATCAGTTTAATGCAAAAATTTAGTAGTCACAATCCAAATAATTAAGCAGCAAATATTGAGTTGTATAGATGACAGCATTTATGGCACTTTATAAATTTTTTATAGATGCCTGTATCATTTTATCATTGCTCTTTACCACAACTTGAGGATTCAAAGTGTAATTTGTAGTTCACAATTTTGAGATTTTTTTTAAGAACAGCCATCTCCTGGTCAAATGCATCAGGAAGAAGAACCTCCCCTTAATTTTGAAAAGACTAAAATCTGCACAAGAGGAGCAGTTAAAATACATTTAAAAAGGATACTAGCTATTGAACTAAAGTGAAGTGATGAAAAAGTCACATGTCATTAAACAATAGAAGATGAGCTGAGAAATAGACCAGTTTTGCCAAGGCAAAGACTTTCTCACCCTGCTACCTAATCAGGAGTTGGTAGAGAAATGTCATGGTTCAAATTCTAGGTCCAAATAGATCACATAAAAGAAAGTCTATCCCTAACTGGTGTGGCTCAGTGGATTGGAACCAAATGGTTGTGGGTTCGATTCCTGGTCAGGGCACATGCCTGGGTTGTGGACCAGGTCTCCAGTGGAGTGTGTGAAAGAAGCAACCACACATTGGTATTTCTCTCCCTTTCTTTCTCCCTCCCTTTTCCTCCCTCTAAAAATAAGTTAACTAATTAAAAAAGAAATTCTAGATGATTCTGGGTTTAGCGATGACTTTTTAGATACAATAGCAAAGCCATGATCTACGAAAGAAATAATTGACAAACTGGACTATGTGGGAATTAAAAACTCATTCCCTGTGAAATACACTGTCAAGAGAATCAGAAGACAAGCCACACACAGGGAGGAAATATTTGCAAAAGATATATCTGATAAAGGACTGTTATCCAAAATGTACAAAGAACTCTTAAAATTCAGACTATTGAACTTTAGGTAGCAGACTATTTTGATTAGACTGTCCTTATAGTATATAATTTGATGTTGAATATTGTGCTCCCTCCTACTTCGTTCTTCTTTCTTATGATTGCTGAGATTATCTGGGGTCTTTTTTGATCTAGAATACTTCAAAAATTTTTAAAGAGGAATTTCTACTTTTATTTTTGTGCCATCGGACAGTTTTTACAATGAGCACATGTTCACATATAATTTCAGTGATTAAGAAAATGACATTTGTAAGTACCAATAAAAATGCTAACAAAAGGTAGCATTTTTGTTTACCTTGGTACTTACAAATGTCATTTTCTTAATCACCAAAATTATATGTGAACATGTGCTCATTGTAAAAACTGTCCGATGGCACAAAAATAAAAGTAGAAATTCCTCTTTAAAATTTTTTTGAAGTATTTTAGATCTGGGAAAGTGCCATTGGTATTGTATCTGTTTTTTAAAGATGATTTTCTTGGAATTCACAGCAACTTTTTAAATTTCCTTTCTTCTCTAGCAATCAACAGTATTTTTCAATGCACATTTATTAGGTTCAGCCAGGCCTCTAGACCACCCTCAATAAATTCCAAAGTTCCCTTCTTTGACTGATTTATACTATCAATGATATATGTTCCATATATCATTTTAGATGCTGAGAATACAAAGATCAATAAATAGGATCACTGCCAATGGGGACCTGGGTCTTGGGAAGTTTTAATAAATTTCTTTCTGATACTGTTTTTGGAAGACAGAATTTATTTTTCATAATTGGCATGATCATCATTTTAGTTTTTCTACTTCATTTAAAAGTTTCTTACCCAACATAATCATATATAGTCAAGGGAGTCCTGAAAATGTACTTTAAAATTTCAGAATTTTCTTTCTTTCCATAATAAGACTGTGGGCTTTTCTTCAACTCAAGAGTAACTCAAAATATGAATTTTAGAAAACCATAATTTTACTTATTATAAACCAATATGTCTTTCTCTCATTACCGTCCATATAAAACCTGTGGTATTTTGCTTCCAGAATGTTGGCAGTTTAATTATGAATTCAGTTGAAATATTAGAGATGCAGCCTGTTGTGTGTTAGAAAATGTGATTATATAAATCTAAGGAGAATTCATGAATTACAGTTAATTTGCAATGCATGCATGATATAACAATATTCTTAATAATAATAATAGCTGACATATTTATATTATATGCTACACACCATCCTGTGTGTACATTATGCTATTTAATTATCACAGCAAGCCTGCAAGACGTTCCAGTTTTACAGATTGGATAGCTGTGAAGAAAATTTGTTCAAGCAGTGTTACTTTTCACTTGAGAAGCTACTTTTTGTACTGTTCTTTATATAATGATAATCTTATTATTAATACTGATATACTGTATTTAAAGTACTAGAAAATTATATGAGGCAGATAGAAAAAATGCTATTTGGATTTAAACAGATTTTTATTTACCTTACCGCAAGTGAAAAAATGAGGAATCTATGTGGTCACCAGCCCTGAAATAATTGAGAGGAAAATGTTTGCTAGAGCATTATTTTTTTCAGTTAATTATGCAACAAGATCTAGCAGCTGGTCTAATTCTGAACATTTAAAGCCATCTTCAACAATTATAATATCATCTTAAATATCTGTCATTTCTGTTGGTGATAAAGTCACAGCTACTCCTAATATTGTTGGCCTCCATTCATATAAAAGGAAAGGCTAAATTTCAGTTAGAGTTTAGTTAAAATAAAGATGAAACTGCTCCTACATTAATAGGCACCAGGTAAAGAACCCTTGCTCTAATAGAAGTCATTTATTGGGGTTATGTAAAGCAAGAATGGGTAAAGAAGGGAACTTTGGAATTCATTGAGGGTGGTCTAGAGGCCTGGGTGAATTGCCTCAGAGGAAGACACAGACATAGGCAGCTTTAATGACATTGAGATGATCCATTTAAGAGTATAAAGAATATGGATACAATCAGCATACTTTTTATATTTAGGGTTACTAGTTCTGAGTTGTTTGTAGCATTTTTGTATTTTTTTTTATTTCCAGGATAGTATTAGAATGCACTTCAACAACTTTTTTACAGGATAGAGCAAAAGTAGGTTTACGGTTGTTTGTTTGGAAAATAATACAATAATTAATAAATAATAATGCAACAATAAACTCTGTTTCACATACTCACAAATGTAAACTTACTTTTGTTCTACCTTTTATGTAAATATTGATTCATACTATTAATATGAATTGAAAGTATAAAGGGCACGTGGACAAAAACAAGGGCGTGTGGAAATGGGAGGAAGGTGGGGAGGGCTGGGGGGTGGGCTGGGATGGGAGTAAAAGACAGAAAACTGTACTTGAACACCAATTTAAATAAAATAAAAAATTATACATAGAAATATGAATTGAAAATATCAAATTAAACAGTATAAATTCATTTTCATAAAGATT